CCAGCCACTGTCCCCACCCCGCCCCGCCCCGCCCTGCTCCACCTGGCTTTTGCAGCACAGGGCTCCCAGTGCCAATCGCGGCCCCACCTCCCGGTCGTTCCCCTACCCCGCCAGGCTTCCGTCCGGCGCCAAGCCGGGAATTCAGAAAATACTGGACATTGCACATGTCTGGTATTTTCTGAATTTTTCTACCGGACAGAGGGCGCAAATACCGGACTGTCTGGTACAAAACCGGACACCTGGCAATGCTAGGCCCGGGGGCAGGGGAAAGGGTACAGCGGGCCAGGCATAACAGCTCCCCACAGACTCCTCCCTGGCCAGTTGCAGCAGGGCATTTGCTGGAAACGGTCCCCAGTTCCAGCCATGCATCCTCTCCCATGGTGGGAGGAGGGTCAACGAGGGTCAGGGGGCAGAGATGGTTTGGGCTGGAGGGTCTGTAACAGGAATAGGATTGTGTCCACACATACATGTGGAATAATGTTCACTTTTGTCCTTTTGAGCCATCTTTATATTCCGGAAGTATGTGTCCATAAAAAGTTTGGTTGTCCATCATTTTTTTCCGTACTGCTCATACAAATCATTTTCAGTGTTGGGAGCCCTGAAGAGGGTACAAACCCAGGTATCACAGAAGAATGTCTCCAGGTTGCAGCTGTCTGATTGTTATGGTACTAAAGCTTGGGGAAGACGCCGCAGGAATGGCTTAGAAATGGCAAACCAGAAGCATTCTGCGGAAATCGAAGGGCCGTGCTGTCAATGTGATAGCTGAGCTCTGACAGCACTGCGGTCTAGTGGTTAGAGCAGGGAAGTCTGGAGGGCAGGATTATGGGAACCAATATCCAATCCCAAGATTCCTGACTCCCCTGCTCTGACCACTAGATCATGCTCCCTTCAGAGCTCAGCTCCCTCCGCGGAAACCTGGGAGTCGATATTGGTTCCCATAAGTCTCTCAACTTGGAGAGACAGACTCCATTTCCCATGATCCTCTCTTCTGAGGCGGTGCGTGTCCCTGTGTAAGAAAGTTATTACTTCCCATGATCCTCTCTGCCCTGAGTGGGGCTACACACTTTCCCATGATCCTCTTTGCTTTGGAGGGGGGTAAGACACTATTTCCCATGAGCCTCTCTGCCCTGGGAGCTAGACACTATTTCCCATGAGCCTCTCTGCCCTGGGAGCTAGAGACACTATTTCCCATGAGGCCCTGGGAGCTAGACACTATTTCCCATGAGCCTCTCTGCCCTGGGAGCTAGACACTATTTCCCATGATCCTTTCTGCCTTGGAGGTGTAAGACACTATTTCCCATGATCCTCTCTGCCCTGGGAGCTAGACGCTATTTCCCATGATGCTCTCTGCTGTGGAGGGGGTAAGACACTATTTCCCATGAGCCTTTCTGCTGTGGAGGCTAGACAGTTTCCCATGAGCCTCTCTGCCTGGAGGGGGGGGGCT